GTTGATGGGGGTGCGGTTGATGGGGGTGAGGTTGATGGGGGTGCGGTTGATGGAGGTGCGGTTTTTGTCTTTCAGAAGACCATACCGCCAAGGAACACAAGGAGACTAAAGTCATACCCTCTAGTGGAGTCTAAAGATACATCCTCCCTTAGTCCTGTATACCTTCCAAAATGGGACTATAGCCACAGCCATAGAGCCCAGAATTATAATCCATCACATAAGGAATTATGACTAGACAGGCCATATTGATTTACCACATCTCAGCAATCATGCTTGCTCCTTGTTCCTTCCTTCTTCCTTAAAGAAGCCACCGAGGGGAAAAAATGCAGCCCCATGTGTTCTTGGCAGAGCTTATTTTAAGCTTCAGTTGATTTCTTAAATTGCCATATTTATTTTGCCTTCTTGTGAGAAAATTTATTTATTTCGTAGATAATTGGGCTTCATCAAATTGTGCTATTAAAAAAAGAGAGAAATTTCAGTTTGAGCTCTTATTATCTCTTCAAGCATTTTGTATGTATTGGCCTGAAATTTTTTATTGGGAGGGAGGGGAATCATACTCAATGGATAATTAAACTTGCGTAAGGAAGCCCACTTTTTTTTTCAATAAAATTTCCCAGCAATCTTGTGAGTTCACTCACTGTGTTACAAGTGAGAGGAGTTGCTGTCCTTTGAGGCAGAGCGTCCTACGCTCCAGACAGAAGGCCAATTGCAACATCATTCTGAAGTCCTTGGAGGTAAAGGCGAGTTTTCATTGGGCGATTTCAAAAGTGTATCGTTGTGGATTAAGCCATGATGTCTCTCCATCTTTACGATGTTGGACCTGATGAAAGAAAACCATTGTTTTGGCTCACGGAGCACATCTGGTGAGAGATTCTTCTTGGTGCAGGCAGGTTCAGTAAAAAGAGGGTGTAGGAGGGGTCCCTTCAGAACCCACAGGAGAGGCTGCAAAGGACTGGCAGTTCACTACTTCACCCGTGCTAGCCCTTCACGGCTTAAATGCCTCTCCGCCATGAAGACATTTCGGATCTCTTACACTTTTGTGCTTCCTGTTTATCCTCATCTAACCGCCCAAGAGAATGCCTTCCTTACATTTTAGTTCTCAGTGGCTAGACGTCACGACTCTTGAGGATATTTATGTCTCTGTAGTCTGTGGGTTGTTGGGCTGCTAACCCAACTCCTTTCCAAACCACCAACTGCTTCTAAAAAGAAAGGTGAGGCTTTCCACGCTCAGAAAGAGTTAGTCTTGGAAACCCACAGGGGCAATTCTACTCTGTCCTATTGGGTCACTCTGAGTCGGAATTGACTTGATAGCAATGAGCTCCCCCTCCCCCAATGATATACAGCTTAGTGACATGTACATTGCAATTCCTAGTATAGGTTGGATTTTTATTTTGTGTGTGTAGATTTTTTTCCCATTACAAAATAGGAAGCAGGATTGTTCCTTTGTTCTCGCTATTCTTGTTGTAGTAAGACAGAAAAAAACAAAACAAGATAGGGAAGTACTAGTTCCTCAAATTCTAGAGTACTATGTCTTACCGGACATGAAAACCTGAAACGGGATTCGGAGAGGGGGTGGATTAGTCTGGGTACTGCAGAGAAACAAATCCACAGTAACTTGTGTATAAGAGAGCGTTTTATGTAAAGGTTAAGCGCGCATCAAGAAAATATCCCAACCCAGTGCTGCCCAAGCTCACAAGTCCAACATTAACCCATATTGTCCAACACCAGTCCACAAAGTCCTCCTCCATCTTACAAAACAGACACAACGATGCCGACTGCAGGAGAAAGCTGAGTCAGTGAACGTGTAAGCATCTCAGCGCTGGCAGGGGTCTCCACATGGGTGCTCCAGCACCCAGGGCTGCATCAGGGTAGGTTCATGCGGCTTCTCCTTGGGGATGTCTTTCAGGAAGTGAGCCTTGCCAGCTGAAGCAGGGAACTGCTAAGGCAGCTGCACCCTGGTCCACAAAGCAAGAGACCCGCGAACTCGAAAGGCAAGGCTCACCGAGCCATTTATCCCTCTGCCCTTCGATTAATCCCACATGTGTTTATCGGCCAGGTAGTCACAATAAACTAACTCGGGGGGGTGGGGGGGTGGGGGTGGGGGTTAGGGAGAATAGTATAACAAATTGAAGGTATGAAGACTGGGGAGAGGTGAGGGGCCCGGCTGGTAAAGGTACAGTGAGAAAGAAGGAAGACCCTTGACAAGATGGGTGGCCACAGTGGCTGCAGCACAGCACTGATTGTGAGGGTGGCACAGCACCGCGCAGTGCTTGATTTTATTGTACACAGTAGGGCTGCTGTGGGTCAGGACCAACTCCAGGGCACCTCGCAGCATCCATCCACCCAACTCCAGGGCACCTCGCAGCATCCATCCACTTACATCCCCCTCAGTTCGTGTGGACTGCTGTTTCAATACAGAAGAATTGACTGAGAGGACAAAAATAGCCATAAACAAGGACCCCATGATTGTGTAGCATATACTTGTGTTTTAAGACACAGAAGAATTATGAAAGCACTGAGGTCCAGGGGGCGGCGTAAACGATAGGTTAGGAGCTCCATGTAAAGGGTATCAATGCAGTTTTGCAACTGAATTTCTCTGTAATTTCCAGAAAGGAAACATTGATTGCCCCCCATCCTTAAAAGATATAATATATAAATGATATGTCTTGTGCCCTTTCTGATAATAAGGTGCTTTGAAATCTGTAGGAGAAAACATAGGGAAATTAAATGTTTTTTCTTCTCTTTTATGTTTCTCTTAACCCAACAATGTTTTTCTAGGGCCGGTTACAAACCCATCACAGGGAGATTTGGAAATAGGATCTCTTCCGATCGTTTTGCTGGTGCAGAGTTGACTTCTGGCTTGTTCTCATAGGTCTATGAGGGCCAGATGAGAGAGCTGGATTCTTCCATCATCAGTGCTGCGGATCGGGATGTTCCCAAGGGGCCCTTGCTGTTCACCGTCACTCAGGAGCCTCGCCATGGCCTCCTCCTCAGTGTGCCCAGGGAGGCCATCGCCCCGCAGCAGCGGCCAGCGCGCCCTCACCAGAATCATCAGCGGGTTCACAACTTCTCCTTGGAGCTTCTCAAGACCGGTATGGTGTTCTACTTCCTTTTTTTGTTGCTTTGCAGATGTAGCCGTCTAACCCAGAAAATACGATCTGTCGTCGAAATAGAGGGATACACGTATGAAGAAAGGGCTTGCAGATACTTTATTCATTTGCCACTTAAGGATTTCCACTGGTGTCTGGGTTAATATCGGGCACCGTGTCCTAGCTAGAGGAAGTGAGTGGGTAATGAAAAGTAAATTGCATGTTTCATTTCACTTGTCGAATTTCATGAAAGATATCTATGATGGTTGATAGTTTAGCATGAGCTTTTTATCCTTTTTTAAACTATTGTGATCATGGAACCAAATCTTAAAAGGTTTGTCTGCCAAAACTTCTACTTCTGAAGCAAATATAGAACCACATACAATCACTCATTATTCTCAGAGGAAATAATTTGCTCTTTAGAGAAACGGCACATCGGGATAGCAGCCTGAATTATTTTTTAATTGTTCTTTTTTTAAACAGCTCTCATCCCATTTTTCTCTAGATAAAAATACTTAAAAAATTCAGAGCGGGTACATTGGTACAGATAAGAGCGCTCGACACACAGAATCCAGAACAGATAAACCCCTCAGGACCAGTAATGGGAGCAGCGATACTGTGAGGGTAGAGGGAGCTGGGGGCAAAAGGGGGAGAAAGGGGGACCCAATCTCAATGATAGACATATAACTCCCCACTCAGGGGTAAGAACAAAAGAAATGTAGGTCAAGGGAGACAGTGGACAGTGTAAGATATGAAAATAATAACAATAATATATACCATATGTACTCAAGTATAAGCTGACCCGAATATCAGCCGAGGCACCTAATTTGACCACAAAAATTGCATTAAAAATGTGCGGAAAACTCGGTTTATACAGGAGTACATACGGTAATTTATCAAGGGTTCATGTGGATGGGAGGGAGGGAAAAAAGAGATACCAAGGGCTCAAGTAGAAAGAAAAGGTTTTGAAATTATGATGGCAACATATGTATAAGTGTGCTTGATACAATTGATGTATGGATTGTTATAAGAGCTGTCAGAGCCCCAATAAAATGATTTTTATAATGCAAAAAAAAATTCAGAGAGAATTATGGAGTTCTAGAATCCTTGCCCACCCTGTCTCTGCTCCCTGCCTTCACGTGCTCTTCCTCCTTAGCCAGAAGGTCACTGGCTGGGGTAATGCTACCCCTGAAAGCCCAGCTTGTTGACCTCCTTTTGGCAGCCACCCACATTTCCCAAGCCATTTCTCCTGTGCTTGCCTCATTTTAACACTTGTTCAACATTTGTCATACTGCCTTTTAATTCTTTAAGGAGCTCTGGTGGTGTAGTGGGTTACGTGTTGGGCTGCTAACTGCAAGGTCAGCAGTTCCAATCCACCAGCGGCTCTGTAAGAGAAAGATGAGGCTTTCTGCTCCCATAAAGATTTGCAGGAGAAAGAAGATCTGCTGCCAGGAGGATTTACAGTCTCAGAAATCCAAAGGGGCCATTCTACCCTGCCCTCTCAGGTCGCTATGAGTCAGAACTCAATGGCAATGAGTTTTAATCCCCCACCCCATGTTTAAATACCTTTTGTTCTTATATCCCTTTCACTTTTTCCTTTGTGTTTTATTTTAGAAAACTTTCTATATTCAGAGATATATTTATTTGTAGATTCTTCCAAGTTTTTAAGACAGTTTTATTGAGATATACTGGACATGGCATAAAATCGCCTGTTAAACATACACAAATTGGTGTTTTTCAGCATATTCACACAATTGTATAACCACAACCACAATTAATTTTAGGACATTTTCATTAACCAAAAAGCAACCTCATTCCTCATAGCTTTCATACTGTCCCTCCCACCACCCAGTGCTTGGCAATCACTAATTTTCTTTTTGTCTTTGTAAATTTACCTATTCTGGAAGGTTCATATAAATGCATTCACACAAGTGGAATAGGTGGTCTCTTGGGACAGATTTGTGTCATTTAGCAAAATAGTTTCAAGTTCCACCCCTGTTGTAGCATAATGCAGTACGAGCTGAATAACAGTCTCTTGTAGGGGTCGTCCACACCATTGGTTATTATGCAGTTAGACTGCTTCCACTTTCTAACTCTCCCCCCTTTCCCCACTTTCTAACTTTTATGAAGAATACTGAGAGCATCCATGCACAAGTCGTCAATGGACCTTGGCTGTCTACATACCCAGGAGTAGACTTGCTGGGTCACCTGGCATCTCTCCGCCGAGCATTTGGAGGAGCAGCCACGCTGTTGTCCAAGGCCGTTGCCCCGTGTTTCCTTCCGCTGTTCATGGGGTTTCCCCACCTCCAACCAGCCTTTGTTCTTCTCTGTCTTTTTAAAGTATAGCTGTCCTGTGGAACGAGAAGTGTTACAGTCGTTTTGATCTGTATAGCCTAATGACTAAGGAGAATCTTTTCATGCGTTTATTGGCCATGTGTATCTATTCTTCTATATTCTTTGGAGAACTATCTATTCAAATAGCTACCCATTTTTCAATGGGGCCAATTGCCTTTTCATTATTGGGCTGTAAGCGCTCTGTATATATTCTAGATATGAAACCCTTACCAGGCGTACAATTTGCAAACATTTCCACCCACTCTGCTGCGTATTGGGATGGTTCCACCGGAAAGCAGGCTTCCTTATTCTTTACCTCCTTTTCCTTCTTCCAGGGAGGAGGCTGCTGTATGCTCACGATGACTCCGAGAGCCTTGCTGATGACTTCACTGTCCAGCTGTCGGATGGGAAACATAAAATTCTTAAAACCATTACAGTGACGGTCACCCCAGTTAATGATCAGAAGCCAACACTGAGCAAGTAAGCTACCTGAAGAACCCCTTGACAGATTTCCTATGAAATTCTGAAACGTCTGGGCTGTTGGCTATCCAATTGCCCTGTGTCCCCAGAGAGATGTGGGTCTTCCACAGCTCCCATCTGCCCCAACTTGTTTCACCCACTTTGAACATCTAGAACCTTCCATGCAAATGAGTGAGGGTAGCCTCTCCTTGATGCGAGGTGCTGTCGAGCCAGTTCCGACTCATCGTGACCAGTCCTGCACCATCCTCGCAGTCGCCCTGCGTTGGAGCCCTGGTTGCAGCTCCAGTCCTTCTTGTTGGGGGTCTTCCTCTTTCTCCTGACGCCTCTACTTTACCCACCAGGGTGTCCTTCTCCAGGGACTGGTCTCTCCTGAAACGTGTCCAAAACCTTTTCTTAGCAATTCTCAAACTAGCTCAGTGATTATTTGATTGTCTTTTAGAAACTGCTTAGTGCAGAATCACTACACTCACCCTGATGATCTTTAGCCAAGGAAACCCCAAACTGTTGAATTGGGCATAGTACACCACGTGTTAGACCCTGGCCACACTCTGAACTGGAAACCCTGGTGGCCAGAGCCTCCTTCTCCCTTTGCTTCAGATGGGGGAAATCGCCATATGGGCCTTGCAAACAGCAGTGGCTGTAGAGGCCCTACAAAACCCACAGGCAGCAGCCGGGACTGTGGTAGAAGCAGCCCCCACCTGCTGCGGTCCTGAGTGGTAGCCCTGGAGCCGTCTCTGGTTCCTGGAGAGCCCAGGTGTGTCAGAGTAGAATTTTACTCCGGTGGTTGGTTTTTGGAAGCAGAACCCGTTCCCTTTCTTCTGGGGTGCCTCTGGATGGTCTCACACCTCCGACTGTTCAGTTGGCGGCTGAATTCGCTAGCCATTTGCACCCTGCCCAGCCCCAGCTGCTTCCTCTCCCAGTTCATTTTCCAAGATGCCAAGTTCTCCTTTGACAAACTTAGTCAGGATCGCTGTGAGGGAAAGAACAAGCTCCACAGAACACGACAAGGGAGAGGGCACATTCAGAGGGCTAGAGAAAACCTTCCACGTGGCCAGACTCTGAGTGGCGCCCCATCATGGGGACTGGGACCCCTGGGGATGGGCTATTCAATCTCTTTAAGTTTCTCCCTGTAAAATTTGAGTAGCCCTACCCATCTCCTCACTTCAGAGAGCTGTTGGTAAAGAAAATATAAGAAACAAAATGCCTCTGTAGAATTAATTATAACCCTGATAAAATGCTGAAAGTCTTATAACGTAGGCACTTCTTGTTATCAGGTGTCATCGAGTCAATGTTTGGCTCCTACTGACCACACGTGACAGAGTAGAACTGCCCCCCAGGGGTCCCCAGGCTGTCACCCTTTGAGAGGTGATCTTCCTACCACCGAGTGACTGGCCGGGCTCCAACCACCAAGTCTTTGCTCAGCAGCAGAGTGCTGCCCCATTGGGCCAACAGGGCACGTTTAATGTCAGCAATCGCTGTGGTGGTTGTGGGCTGGGGGGCCCCTGCTGACTCAGAGAGACCCTGTGGGGCAGAGTAGAGTCCCCTGTAGGGATTTCCAGGCTGTCATTTCTGCAGAAGCAGCTTGCTAGATCTTTCTCTCACCCAACTGCATCGGGAATTCCAACAGGCAACCTGTTGACCGGCTGCTGGGCACTTAGGCACTGTGCCATTCAGTGAGACGAGCAGATTCCACCCCCTGAGGCCGTTCGCAGCGCCTCGTCTCTGGGCCTCAGTGGAGACTGGGTGTGCAAGGGCCAGGAGGGCGTATTTCACATTGTTTCCAGATGCTGGGGTTTTGACCATCATCGCTTAGTTATTTGTGCTTAGGGCACTCGAGTGTCTCCTGTAATAACAAAACTGACATCGTCACACCCACGCGGGCGTACTCCTTTCTCCAGGCAGGCAGAAATCACGATGGCTGCGGGAGAAACGCGTGTTCTTTCTAGCGTGGTTCTTTCAGCCACAGATGAGGACTCGCCTAGGGAGGAGATTTGCTATGTATTTGAAAGACTTCCCCAAAACGGGCAACTCCAGCTTAAGGTGAGTGGCCTTTTTTTTTTTTTTTAACTTTTATTTGTTGTTGTTTTTTTAAACAAATATCAGAGGCATGTATTTTCTCAATACACAAACGTCTATAACTGAATTTAGTTTCTGCCTAGAAGTAGAAAATTTAGTTGTCCTGATCCAGGGTGAAATAACATCCTTGTAAGTTTTCTTCATCAACTCAAGGTAAACCCAACCACTAGCAAGGTTCTTTATTGCTTCCTAACTCTCATCCGGAGGGTTACACCACAGTTCAGAGGGGTGGAAAGTTTAGAGAAGAAAGCACATTGTCTGGTTTGGGGTGAGCATCCAGCATCCTTTGAGAGCCTCTCAGTTATTAAACTTTTCCTGGTCTACCAGTTCTCTCTCTCAGCTCATGTCCAAACCACTCATTGAAGCATGAACATGTTGACTTTATTGTTATTTTTTTGCATGCTTTTCATGCCGGAGATGGCCCTCTCTGACCCCGGTGTTCCTTTAGCATGGTGGGCAGAAGCATCAGTGCATTGGCATGCCTCCCCGCCCCCCCTATCCTTTCCTTTAGAATCCAGAAATCATCTGAGTATTGTCACCTCTGCCTTCTTAAAGCCTTAGCAGTGAGCAGCTTTCTTTCCCCCATCCAGTTCTTGTCTTCCACCCAGAGTGGGAAGAATCCTTAGTTCCTTTCCAGCGAGACAGCCCTGCGTTCTGTACTTGACCTGAGATGAGCCTAAAAGTTAAAAGGGTGCTGCCTCTATTTTCGAGTCTCCCTCCCCCTCGGGGGCAGCAGTGACCTCCTGTTACAGTGTGAATGGGCCAAGTCCTGGGTCAAAAATCCATGAGGCCCTTCTGACCCATTGTCAGATTTTCACAACTGCCTTATTTGGATCCAGTGAACTGCTTGATCTAAAAAAATTAACATTCCTGTGTGTGTTGGAAATTATTTAGTGTAGTAGAAAGCAAATGATCTTGGAAGCTTTACCCAGGAGTGAAGGTGGAGACCCCTGCATTCTGTTGCTCACACGTCTGACCGTGTGCTCTGTGTTCTGATGGCACCGTGTCACTCCACTTCCGCCTGGAACAGCGACGCTGTGGTCTGATTCAGACTGTGTGCTTGGTGCCCCGGGATTAGATGAGCCCAAAGTAGTGCTCAGTCACTTGGGAAGGTCACTTGAGCCGTCAGTCAAAATATTTGTTTGCGTGATAGCTGGAGACCAGCAACAACCCCCACCAATCATCCCAATACATTGAACACTTGACTAATGTAGACACAGTCCTAGAAACGTGGCAAGGACTCGTTCTGTCCGAAACCAATTGAGAGTCACAGATGACAGTAGGCACCATGGAGAATCTAAGCAAAGAGCAACCACTCACTGGCATTGAGGTAGAGCTGTGTCATTTCATGTCAAAGAGGGATGAAGAAGAAGAAGCGCAGTGAGTGCTCACACACTTGAAGGACTTGGGAACTCAAGTGTTTTGGGTATGGGGAACCCAGATGGGCCCAGGTTCCCAGAATAGACCCATGCAGCTCTCTCCCAGCTCTCTAGGGGTTCCCCAACTCTCTCCCAGACCAAGGAGGGCCCACCCTCAATCCTTTCCATCCCCCCAGACCCCCTGTTTTCTTGCTGACTTGGTTTTCCGCACTCGGAGTCCGGTGTTCTGCCTTCTTTGGGGCCTTCACCGGATTCTATCAAGTCCAAGTTTGTACCTGAAGGTGCACATTGAATAAAATTGCACGCTGTCCAAGTCAAAACCTGAAAAGGAGCCCGATTTTAACATTATATTTGCAAACATATCTTAGGAAGGGAACAAGCAATGAGCTGGAACATTATGGTTCCCTTTGTCTACAGATATTAGAGTCAAAAATACTTTAGCGAGGGAAGTTGATCCCATAGGTTACATGAAAAACCCACACAAACCAAATGAGCTGCCGGTGAGTTGATTCTGACGCGCCACTCACCGGGCCCCGTGTGGTGCAGAGCAGAACTCTTCCTTCAGGTGTTCAAGACTGCTAGCTTTCAGAAGCAACTTGTCAGGCCGTTATTTCAAGTGACTTTGGGTGGATCTGAAAACCAGTCTTTCAGTTTCGTTATTGGTCGTTAATAGTTTGCATCACCCTGGACAGACATGGACTAACGGTAATATGGGAGCATGGAAAAGCTCCTTCACAGGAAATGTGAGTCTGTGGAATAATGCATCCAGAAAAATAGAACACAAATGCTGTACATTTCTCTGCTCGTTTCTATATTCTTTTTTTTAAAGTTATTGACACATAATTCACATACCATACAATTAAATGGTTTGAGCATTTTTTAAAGTTACGTAATCACCACCACAATTTTAGAACATTTCCTTCATTCACTTTGTACTCATTATTATTCTTTTCTGAGATTGTAAACCTTTCCCCCCCTTTCTTCTGTAAATCTTTATTGGCATATAATTCACATACCATACAATTCAATTGCTTAGTCACACTAAGAAGAGTTGTACAATCATCACCACAATCAGTATTAGAACATTTTCTTTTTTCTGTCATAGTTAAGCTAGTCTTTAAAAGAGTCGTCTATATGTCATTACAATCAGTTTTAGTGCTCCCTACCCCCACCCACAATCATTGCTCCCAGTTCCCTTCACCCTCCCCAACCCCATCCTCGCTAAACCATTGCAGCAGTTATTGTCTCTACACACCTACTCCTGCTGTGCTTCATAAACTGGGAAACCTAACAAACAATAAGAAACAAAAAGAAGAAAACATAATAATACTATAAAGATAAAAATAAAGAGCAAGAAAGAAAAGACCACCAACAATATTTTAAAAGCCAGAGAAGAAATTTCTGTCATGGAACAAGCGAGAAATATTTCAGCCCAAAGCAAATTCTGGTTGTGTCACAAGGGAGGTCAACTGACCAGGTATCATATTACACCATAGTTCGCGCCACCAGAATCAAGTTGACAGTCATCTCTGTCTGGTAGTAAAGCTGTTCAAATTCCTTGCTTGTGGCTAGAGGGGATCTGCCAGAGGCTTAATCTGACTAGGTGCTCTGCACATGGATTTTGGGCTCCCACTGTCCTCCACAGCCTTCTACAAAATGGGTGCTTACAATTGAAGTCCTGATACCCTTTCCTTCATCATATTTGGACTTTGTTAGCATCATCTTTGAATCACACAGGCTGGTGTGCTGCTTCTGTGTGGAGTTAGCTGATGCCTCACTTAGATGGATGCTTGTTTGAATACAAGCCTTTAAGACCCCAGACCCTATTCCAATTGATAGCTGGGCACCATCTGCTTTCTCCACCACACTTTGCTGTAGCGCCCGTCTCATTGGTGATCTCTTCATGAAGGTGAGTATGGAGCAGGGGCAGGTTATAAGAACTAATTGCTCTTGAATTGGGGCTAGAATTAAGGGGGGACCCAGAATCCATCTGCTTGTCCATGGGTTATGAACAATTGGTGGTCATATTATGACAAAAAAATCAACAAGAACAATAATTAGAGAAAACCAAAACAAGCAAACAGAAATGAAAAGATAATACTCTCCCCCCAAACAAACCAAACCAAAAAGGAAAAGCGTTTGTCTGTCATCTCCCTGGAGTATAAGGCGATCGCATTGGTAACATTAATCATTTATCCAGTGGCATAGAATTTAAGGCACTGTTGATGTGAGGAGTTCATGTAACTATAGTCCAACTGTGAGCTGCGAACCACGAGTTGTTGCTTTGTACCTGTTGCTTTCTTAATTTATTGATCTCTGTTTGTATTGAGCATGGGGGTTGGTGCTAGGGAAAAATTTATTGTAACATTTCTTCCAAGGGCAAATCTTTGGACTATCAGATTGAAGCCAGTCATATTATTGCAAGAGGAGCATTAAGATACTAAATATATCATGGTCTGTGTCCCCTTTCACTAGACACCCACTAAGCCAATCATGGGTCCCATTCAAGGTCCAGTGCCCACCATTTCCAGTCTCGGGGTGGCTATCTTTTGCTTTCTCTCCCACCGGGGAATTTCAATCCAACATCCAAGGGTACAGGTAGTTTTAAGGTACAGCCCAGTTCATTCAGTTGGGCTTCCATGTGGTGTCCTTCTGGTGTGGGAATTGGAGGATGCCGTAAGGTCACTGTCAAAGGTCGTCATTGTGCTTCATCCACGGAGTGCTTCACGTAAGATGTGGTAGAAACGTTTTCAGTGTCTACCTAGGAACAAAGACCTGGGTTTATTCTCCCCTTAGGTTCGCTACAATGATAGTTTAGCATGCCTTCCTGATGGGAGGTTGCTCCGCCCCACTTACCCACCAGACCCACCAACAGAAATCGCAGTGCCTATCAGAGACTCTTCACTGATTCTCCAGCAAGGTTCCCACATCCCGTGGAGGGCCTGAGGGCTTTTCATCGTAGCCTTGTCTCAATGGTGTATTCTGTGCTGGTTTCTTAAACCCGACCGGGTAAGCAGGAGACTACCCCACAGTACATTTTGCTAATCGTTTACAGTGCACCCATATCCAGCATAAGAAGCTCGTGTACTTTCTACGCCAGGTCTTGCCCGGGGTTGATGACCAGCATATGGTAACTTGTTTCTAGAAGAGTCTGTTAAAAACTAAAATGTGATGTTTTGTGCCTTATGTTTCTATCTGACGGTGTATATTAATGTAAGGTAGTGAGAGGGATTTTGAATATGGGTAAGGCTAGAAGTAGATGCAGCCATTATATTTTGTTTTAGACCCTTTAGGTAAGCCAAGTGATAACCCAGTTTTCGGGGGGAAATGGCTTGGTTGTATAATGACATCAACCAGAAAAAAAAGAACCTCCCAAAGACACATGTTTAATTTTTTAAGAACCTATTCCAGCAGCTCGATGACCCAGCTGTTCTCATTAATTGGAATATTTAATCAGCCATGAGTGCATATGATAAATACCTTGGAAGTAGCAAGACCATTGAATTGCCACATGACTCAATCAAAAAATCTTTCTGGTTGAAGCCAGTTTTCCCCTAAGGTCTTAAATTGCTTTAATATATTTCTTTGAGGAAAAAAATAAGATTAAATGACAAAACCCACACTCTGGAGTTTCTCTAAAATATTATTTATATAGAGGGTTTGGGTGGGGGAATATGAAAAAATGTCTGCTAAAACACTCTTGGGCAACTGACTAATTCTGGCACCTTTCAGATAGGGAGGGACTGGGTCCCACTCTCCCCTGGCATGAAGTGCACGCAGGAGGACGTGGATCTGAACCTGCTGAGGTACACACACACCGGGCTAGTAGATTCCCAGAACCAAGACAGCTTCACCTTCTACCTGTGGGATGGTAACAACCGGTCACCAGCATTTGACTGTCACATCGCCATCAAGGACATGGGGAAAGGTAACTATATATTCTACTCAGGTGGACGTACGCTCTACCCAGGTACCACCTAACATACCTGGGAGGGCGCTGGTATAACACGCAAGAAACGTCTTTTCCTGGCTTCTCTCTTGAAGCCCTGTCCATCACAGTCTCATCAGTGCGTCCTCCCCTCCACTTGGGCCCCTTGGGCCTGAGTGCTGTGAAGTTCACAGGAATAGAATGGCAATCCACTGGTTATTTTTGGTATTCCACAGAGCTCAGAGCTGCATCAGTGGTTGAAATGCAATAAAAGTCCTGTTTTGTGTGCACGGTAGAATTACACTGGTCCTTAAAAACAAACAAACAAACAAACAAACAAACAAACAAAACCCCCCACCAAATTGTTTAATATTGCAACATTTCTTTCTGGCTCAATAATAGTCTATTTTATTTGCTTATTTTCTGGCTGTAAAGTGTGTTCCCTGGGGCTGACCTTAAGAGAAAACAAAGCAAAAACTCACTGCTATGAATCAATTCTGACATTTCACGACACCAAAGGACGGAGGAGAACGGTTCCCAGGGTTTCTGAGACTGTAAATCTGTGGGCGCACCATGTTCAGCCTCATCTTCCTTCCACAGAGGGGTGGATGGGCTCAACCCCCACCCTGGCTGTTTTCAGCCCAGCCCGGCATGCACTCGGCCACCAGAACTCTTTCAGCCGTAAGAGAAGTTAGGTCTGACTTCACACATATTTTTACTGTGCAGGAGTACAATTGTGCTCATCATCAGCCCAAGTTCAACAAGCACAATATACCCTAACTACGGGAGCAGGGTAGACCGTCGTCTGGATGGGTGGCGCAGTGCCGTTTCCTGGGCTGGGAGAGGCACTGCTTCACCTCTAGGCAGACCCCAGAAATACTGCGGGGCTAGTTCCAAACCACTGCGATAATGTGAATTTTGCAACAAAGCAAATTGCAAGAATGTTTTGGTTTCCCAGAGCACGTAAAAGTTATGTTGGCACTATACTATAGTCTGTTAAGGAGCCATGGTGGTGCTGGTGGTGCAGTTGTTATGCCCCGGTCTACTAATCACAAGTTCAGCAGTTCAAACCCCCCAGTCGCTCTACAGGAGAAAGATGAGACTTTCTACTCCCATAAAGAGTAAGAATGTTGGAAAGCCACAGAGGCAGTTCTACCCTGCCTTATAGAGTTGCTGTGAGTCACAGTCAACCGAAAGGCAGTGCGCTTAGTCCTTTCGGCATGCAATAGCACTACAGAGACACTTGATGCATTGTGAGAAGGACCAAAACCGAGGGGACTTCAAAAAGTTGATGGGATATAACAAGAGTTGTAAGAGCCCCCAATAAAATGATCTTTAAAAGAAGAAAAGTTGATGGAAAAATTCCATGGCCTCTTAGTTCCATTTTCCCATGAACTTGTTGAAGCCCCCTAGAGAAAGACAGGGCTTTTACTCCCGTAAACAGTTACAGTCTTGGAAACTCACGGGGGCAGTTCTACCCGGTCCGATAAGGTCGCTGTGAGTTGCCATCGACTTGATGTCAATGAGTAGAGTGTGACAGAGAGACTTGGAATGAAAAGTGGCACCCATAGACTTGCCCCATACAGATTGCTTCAAAACTACTCATTTATAGAAAATCGCTGTATCAGCAAAGTACAGTAAAGGAAAGTGCAATAAAATAAAGTGTGCCCGCAGTCGTCTGATGACCCAGATGCCTTCTATGTAGGGGTTCCTTCTCTGGAGGTCTTGGGGTCTCTCAGGAGGTAAGGTGTGGAGGAAGAGGAGAGGCAGTAAGTACCCTCCCTTCTCTTCTCCACATCCCATTGCCAAAGGTGGTCACGTTAGGGGAAGTGGGCAGTGTACCCTCTAGCCATGCACCCCGCAAGCAAACCACAGGAAGTTGTTGAGCTCCCCCAGTCTAGCCACAGCTGATAAGTGATTCTTTGCTGAAGGGATCTGTGGAAATCTACCCTAATTCAGCACATTGACTGATTAGCGTGTAGACATTCAAGATCACTTCTCTTTCTGTGTGTGCATAGCTGAACTTTATCTCAGTGTTGGGGGCCTCGTTGTAGACACAGATCTATTTTTACATGTACCACGAGTGTTCTCAGGTTGTCCTACTCCTTAACCCTGAGTGTTTCTCTACACAAAACTCCACGGAATCGTGAAACTGAATCATTAGCCTAAGATTGAGCATCAGGGTTCTTTCTATTTAGGGGCTCAATGGATGATGGAAGGAGCAATGGTGGCCCAGTGGGCCCAGCGGGCCCAGCATTGGGCTGCTCACCCATGCATTGCTCCCCAGAACAATGAGGTGTGGTCTGCTCCCATAGAGATTTACAGCCATGGAAACACCCTGGGCAGTTCGGCTGTCCTGCGGGGTGGCTGTGAGTCAGCATCCGATCTACAGCAGCGGGTTTTTTAAATAACCCCAGGCCTTCCATTTTTGCTGTCTCTTCTGGTTTGCACAGCGGCCAAGACAACCTGGAGCCTTGGAGAGAAGCGTAGAAGCACGTCGTCTATAGTTGACCGTCATCTATCTCCACCCTCCACACACACACAAGTTGCAGGAAGGCAGAGGCAGCTGCCTCTCTTCGCCTCGTGCTCATCTTCCGTGCGTGGGGAACCCTCTCTTGTTTCCCCAAGGAGCCCCGATGGGGAAGTGTGTTCAGCGCTTTGGGCTGCTCACCCTGAGGCTAGCCGTTAGAAACCACCCTTGCTCTGCAGGCCAACGACGAGGCTTTCTAATGATGGAAAGCGTTCGTCTCGGAAACTCACTGGGCAGTTCCGCCGTGTCCCTTAGGGTCACTGTGCGTCAGAGGCCACTCGATTGCAGTGAGCTTGGGGTTTGGTTTGCCCATTTCCCTAGCCTTGCCTATTCTTACTTCCTCGATGCATTCTTATTACTTCCCTCGGTAGCACCTGGGGCTCAGCGATGATCTTAACATTAGGAGGGTTGTGGATTTTCATAATGTTTTGAGATGGAAGTATGTGGTACCAAAAATACTAATGGAATCATCTGCACTGCGGTTTCTTGCTGTGGCCCCCATCGAGCCTTTATTGAGGGGCTTTCTCGGGCCTTGTAGGGTGTTTAGTAGTATCTCTGGCTGTGATTCACCAAGAGCCAGTAGCAACCCCCAGCTGTCTCACCCAAACGTGTCTCCAGACATTGCCAAATGTCCACTGGTGTGGAGGTGGGGGAGCAGCATCCCCACCAGGGGAGAACCACTGCTTGCAGGAGTCCCTTCTTGACATGTTATTTGCAAATTTTGTTTCCACATGAGACTGAATAGCTTTTCAAAATCGTATGGACTCTTTGCAGTTTTAGATTTAGAAGTGGCATCTACATCATGCATTTGCCTTTTGGGGTATTTGCTCCCTCAGCACTGATGTGTACGTTTTTCTAGTTGTTAGGCGACATCGAGTGGATGTCAACTCGTAGGTAGCGACTGCGTGAGGCGGAGGCGAGTTGCCTCCGAGGATTTTCTCGGCTGTCATCTTCACGGAAGCTGGTCCCTAGGCCTTTCTCCCATTGAGCTCGGGGTGGGTTCCGACTGCTGGATGCAGTTAGCAGTCTAGCCCTGAAATGTACCATCACCAGGACTTCCTCTAAAGAGAAAAACCAGACCCGGGGCCTCTTCGGAGATACATGCTACAGGAGATATTACTCTTGTATAAAGACTTCTATGAATTGCCTCTTTGTTACAGAGAAGAAGAGAAAAATGAGATACTGTATATGAGCCGTGTGCTTGTGTTCAGTGGCTTGAGTGAAAATTCTAGCTTTTCCTTTTATTCTCTGTGCAATCATTAGCAAGTTAGTATTTCATCTCCTGGGTCATGTGATAGCACCTCCTCTTATAAGATTGGTGTGAAGCCGAAGAGCTCTTAATCCTGTGCCTGACATAGAGTAGACTCTTTAGATTTTGATCATTAAAATGATCAAAATCTGGGATGCGGGACCTTTTTTCTGTCAAGGGCCTCTTGGATAGTTATAATATCATTCACAGCCATACTGGCCAGCATTTAATTAGCTCACCCTTAATGTGATGGTTACAACTGCTTCTAATTGGTGAAGTATGTGATATTAGCTGATACTGATTATTTCAGGGGCCTTATACAGCCTGCAGGCCGGACATTCCCCACCCCTGTTTTAAAGGAACCCTAAGACAAAAAGAAATGAAACAGAAAACCAAGCCCCCTGCTGTCAAACTGCTTCGGACTCATAGCGACCTTCTACGATGGAGTAAAATGGTCCCCAGAGAGTTTCCAAGGGGGTAAATCTTACAGAAGTGGACTGCCAGAACTTTTTGCCTCATGGCAGGTTTGAACCACCAACCTTTTGGTTAGCACTCAAGTGCTTTAATCTCTGTGCCTCTGAGGTGTCTGTGAATGAACCTTGGGGGCCAAAGATAGATTACGATCCTTGGTCTGTGAAGTATTGCATCCTTGGCTTATGCACCGCCCACTTCTATTTCACTCCATCTGTTCCTTTGATAGATATATATTAAATATAGATATATATATATATGACACTTTCAGCCACATCGCACAATTCAAGGAGTCGGGTATTAAAGGCAACAGACACCTGCCTGTGTGCTCTGCCCATCTCTAGAGAGAAGTACAACCCTGAATCTTGCGCTGATGCGTTCTTTACTTTGTTTTTAGTTTTGTGGGACTTGGCCATAGGTGTTCCCTCTTCAGTGAAATGGTTTAAGTCTTTTGCCCAGGATTCTGTCCTTAATGGCAGAGATACCCAGCTCCATATGACCTGTTGCCTTTGCTTTTCGCTCAGTCTGACCTTTATTCTCACCTCTCCCTTTGGCTTTGTATTCTTTCACATGGCTCGTGACCGTGCAGGTGATATTGTCATCTTTGCAAAGCCCCTTGTGGTGTCCGAAGGTGACAGGGGTCTCTTGACGACCAGCACTCTCCTGGCCGTGGACGGCACAAACAAGCCCGAGGAACTGCTGTATGTCATCACGTCGCCCCCGCAGTATGGCCAGGTTGAATACGTCCACTATCCTGGAGTTCCCATTACAAGCTTCAGCCAAATGGACATAGCAGGGCAGACGGTCTGTTACGTACATCAGAGCAAAGTGGCCACCTCTAGCGACATGTTCAGGTGAGTGCCATGGACATTTTCAGCTTCCTTGTCTTGATAAATACATAGACAGACAGAACGGGCAGGTGGGAGTTGGGTGGGGGTGTGATATGAACTATGTTCTACCGCCTCAAAGCACGGAGGTTGTTATTTTGAGAACTAAGGTGTCCCTGGCCCAAGCCATGCTATGTTCCATTGCCTCCTGTGCGTGTGGAAAGTCGGACGTTGAAGAGAGAAGACGGAAGACGAATCGAAGCATTTGAATTGTGGTGCTGGGGAAGAATAGTTAAAGTACCATGGACTGCTTGGAGGACAAACAGATCTGTCTTGGAAGAAGTATGGCCAGAGTGCTCTTTAGAGGCAAGGATGGCAAGACTTCTTCTTACAGACTTTGGACATGTAGTCAGGGGAAGCCAGTCCCGGGAAAAGGCTGTCATGCTTGGTAAAGTAGAGGGGCAATAAAATGGAGAAAAGTCCTCCAGGAGATGGGTTGACACAGTGGCTGCAACAATGGGCTCAGGCAAAGGAATAATTGTGAGGATTGTGCAGTATCGGGCAATATTTCGTTCTGTTGTGCATGGGGTCACTATCACTTGGACCCTACTGGATGGCACCTCACAACAATAGACGCCTAATAGTAAGGCAAAACACCTGGCCCTGTTTCTAAAGAATGAAGCCATTGTTCTTGTTAGGTGCCATTGAATCCAGTCTGACTCGCCGTGGCGCTATGTGCAACAGAACAGAATGTTGCCTGGTCCTGCAGCATCCTCACAAGGGTGCGGACGATTCAGCCCATTGTTGCAGCCACTGGTCAACCCGACTTGCTGAGAGCCACCCTCTGTGTCCCTGCCCCTCAACTTTACCAAGCATGACAGCCACCAGGAAGGCATAAGCACATCATTTTGAACACGGTCGGCTAATTTGAAGAAGGAAGGAAGAAGAGCCGAGATGCCCAGCTAAGGAGAGACATGTAAAAGCCATGGTTTTCCACTCTTTGTCTCAGTAAGTTTTTCCAGCAGATGGAAAGGCATCGAGGAGGAGCATTTGGTAGACCCTGCCATTGCCTTTTGACACAATGCGTTCTGGTAACTGTATCATAAATCACGTTGTCATACAGTGGACCTTATTTCCCCATAGAAACAATGGTATAATTGGGGGTTGTGCACCTGCTCAAGGATTCCTTATCAAATAAATCAGTGGCATGAATATCAACCTGGTGGAAAGGCAGAGATACTACATTGATGAACGTCTGCATTCACTTGAAATCTTCCCACCAGTTTTAAGTAACGCGAAGTGGGAGGAACTTGAATCAGTCAGATTACAGTTCTCAATGCTGGTTGACCCCAAGGCCCTTGACAGAAATACAGATCCCCACATCTGGGAAGGAGACCATGGACTCAGATTAATGTTTGGGGGAGCCCCAGGAGCATTAGTTCTTTTGCTTTTGATGAGAGTTTCTGCCTAGGTCAGGGCTCCCCACTATGGTTTTCACCATGTCTCGATGCCCCCCTCAAAAGGCTGCTGTGAAATAACACCCATGGAGTCTCTATGCCTGTGTTTGTCAAGCAGGCCCCACAAAGCATAAAGTACAGTTAACACCCATATTCAAATCTCACCCTCTGCCACGTATACCTGGTTCCTCTCTGAATTCAACATGCCTACCATAACCACTGTGTAAATGTGACTAAACATGATGTGGCTTTCCTTGTTAGCATTCGGCATGATTTATGAAAGATAATTTAAATAGCTCAGCTACTAAAATGTCCCCAGAAGTTTGAAATCACACCCTCCTTATCCTGTTGACGGATGTCTCCTTAACCAACAGATGATCATTCAGCGATCATGTGCTTGATCAGTATCGGAATCATCAATGCAGCGATTGGCTGTTGCTAGGCGTTACCTAAACCATAGTTGTTGGTCGTGCTAGCTGCAGCCAGGTCTTCTCACCACCCACAGTGACCCAGGCACAGCAGAAGGAAGGAAACACTGCCTCAGGGCTGGTTGTGACTTGAAGGTTGCATTTTATAGTGTTTCATTCGCTCCTCTGCAGAAATAGAAGGTTGGCCTTCATTTCTTAGTCCGTCTTAGTCTGGAAGCTCCACTGAAACTTGTTCAGAACAGTATTAACACACAAGCTTCCATTGACAGGTGACTGTGCGTATAGATAATTGAATAATCATTTGAATGATCAATATCATAATCACCAATGCAGAAATGAAATGTTGCTAAGGCGTTACCTCAGTTTGGAGGGTGGGGAGTTCTGTCCACGCTGGTGTTTTTGCCTGAGAAGTGCTCATATGTTGTTGCTCCGGTACAAATCCTGCCCCCACTCTGTGGCCTTCCTCAAGTCCCGCAGCCTCCTATGCCCCTGATTCCTCATCTGTCAAATGGGATGCTGCTACTAGCACCTACCTCACAGGGTGATTGTGAGGTTGAAAAGAGCTTATGCATACCAAGCACTTAAAACAGGACCTGGCATATGTAGTTGTTGCTACGTGGTTTTGAAGAGCCCTGGTGGTGTAGTGGTTACGCATTATACTGCAATTCTCATTGTCGACAGTTCAAAACCACCAGCAGCTTCATGGGAGAAAGTCTGGGCTTTTATGTTAGTCTGTAGACTAGAGAAACAAATCCATGGACACATATCTGTGTATAAGAAAGAGATTTATATACAAGAGCAATTGAACATTGAGAAAACATCCCAGCCCAGTCCAGATCATAAGTCCGATATTAGCCCATATGTCTGATACCAATCTATAAAGTCCTCTTCAGACTCACGAAACACATGCAATGATGCTGAATGTAGAAGATCACAGGCCAGTGGGTAGAAAGTCTTTGGATCCAGTGGCATTGGAGACAGCTCAGTGCTGGCAGGGGTCTCCACATGCCTTCTCCAGCTTCCAGGGCTGCATCAGGGTGGGTCCATGTGTCTTGTCAGCTGCTATGTCTCCCACGGTGAGAGCAGAGAGTCTCCCACCTCCAACGAGGAAATACCGGAATTCCCAGAATCCTTAGGGGAAGGCTATGCCCACACAGAAACCTCATTGCCTATGACCTGATTGACAGGCTAGACTCCACCCCTACACGCTTAATCCTTAAATGGACAATTATGTAACTACGGCAGCTTTCTACTCCCACAAACAGTTCCCTGTGGGGAAACCCTCAGAGGGTCACTCTGAGTCAGCCTTGACTGATGGCCGTGAGTCTGGTTTGGGGTCTGGTATATAGGAAACATTAAATCAGTGTTAGCTACTGTTGTTGTTGTCATGATTCTGTTGTTATGTTGCATCATCATTATTGATGATTGATTATGTGCTGCTGCTTCCCCCAGCCAGTGCCCCCCGGGGGCGTTGGCGGCAGACGTGAATGGCTGCACAGGGGGGATCTGTGGCTGAGCCGTGGAAGCCCATGAGGGATGTGTGAAAATGTCAGGAAATGGAGGCGAGGTTGTCAGCAGACGGTGGGGAAGAGCTGAGAGCGAAAACCAGAATCTCCACACGGGAGTGAGGGTTGGTGTGTGTAAAAATGTCCTAATTTGTATCCATATAAATTAGGCGATGTAGTATTCCAGGAATCAGTGCAGGAGTTCCGCAATCCCACCTACTGAGCTTCCCGAGAACTATCTCCAAACCCCCAACACATGGCTGTCAGTCAATTCCAATGCACGGGAACCCTGCAGGACAGAGGAGAACTGTCCCTTGGGGTGTCTGAGGGTGTACATCTTTTGGGAGCAGACAGCCTCATCTTTCTCCCTCAGAGGAGCTGATGGGTTTGAACGAGTCATGTGATTCAGTAGGCTCCTACTGGTTCACCAGAACCAATACCTAATTTTGGGGTGAGTTTATCAAACGAGTTGTTAAAAGGGCACTCGCAACTAGGGTTCTCTCTACAGTGGGCAGCTGAGCAGCCTCCCAATGTGGAAATCACAAATTTATAGTCCTCCTTCTTTTTCAATGTTCATCTGCACAGCAACATATTGCAAGCACCCGTAGGAATGTTCATTCCATCCATAGATATAAAAAATTAGACAGAACCATGACTGTAATATGTATTCATCATTTTGCCAAACTCATTACACTTTTGATGAAATACTACATTTTTATTCTCTTGCATTTGTGACTTCAGTAAACAGCCATAGAACGTAAAGAGAAAAAATGCCAAACCACCAGAGGGTGACACATGATCATTCGTTTCAGCTTTGTGTTATGCCCCAAATTCCCACGAGATAGTATGAGTGAATTATGAAATTCCTGGGAGTGTTCAAAGAGATACAAATATTGTCAGAACTCTTGTTGTAAGTACAGCAGAAGTGGAAAGGGGTTTTTCAAACATAATATGTTCGGAGAAGAGAAGCCACCTTACTGTCCCTAATATATCAAGCACAGTGACTATTGTCTCATTGCCCTGCCTCTAAAGGAACGGGACCTATTCCTATCGTGGAAAGATGGTCAAGGATAAATCACACAGTTGATGAGCCTCGACTCAAAGCCAAGAATATTGTCATAGTTTTATTGGTTTGGGGTCAGGTATTATTTAAATTCTTATAATCTAGCTTTGTGTAACTATTTTATCACTCTTATTTAAGTATTAACTGTAGGAAATAATAAGCCACCTTTTGGTATATCAGTTTTTTATACTTAAAATGGTCATTAGGGCAGCGAACCAGTTGTTAAGTTATTTGAATCTCACCACTGGTTTGAACAGCTTCCTTTACAATTAGCAGCCCAATGATTATACCACCTGATTTCTTCTGAGCACTAACTGGAACTTTAATCCTTAAGGTTAAGGATTAACCTTAATGACCACACATTCATGGCCCTCCCCCAATAGAGGCTACTCTGGTTATGTCTAATGGTAGGCCCAGGAATCTGTATTTTTTAAAAGCTCTGTGAGCGATTTTTATTAATGCAGTCAAGACTAGCATCTGTTCTTTCCAGAATGTGTCCCGAGAAGCCTGAAGGAGTTTTGGAAGCCCTGGCAAAACCCCCAGGAACATCCAAGGAAGGGGCCACACTGAAGGG